CCCCCCTCTCCCAGCAGGTCATTCTCCCTCCCCCGAGGTCAATCCAGGTCAACCAACCCTCCATAAGAGCGGAACTCTAACACTAGTTCAAGCCGTGACGAGCCTTACTGCGTGCTGGCTTCTACCTATCACTCAGCGACTGGACTGGGAGGAGCCATATATATATATAGGCAGGTGTGAGGGCCTGAGTATAGGACAGTGTAGGGGCAGAAACAGGTGTAGATTCACACAGGTGGTTCCCACAGTCTTCCAGGAAGTGTATCTCTCGCAGCCTGAAGGTCAGTTATGTATGAATTGATGGGGTAAGGATGAAGGTAAGCCTTGGGGTGTAGAAGATAAGACTTGGGGTGTAGAAGATAAGACTTGGGGTGTAGAAGATAAGACTTGGGGTGTAGACGGTAAGACATCACTCCACGACTTGTCACTTGTGTGATCTTAATATTTAATATGGGGGACGACTGGGGAGCCGGTCGGCCGAGCGGACAGCACACTGGACTTGTGATCCTGTGGTCCTGGGTTCGATCCCAGGCGCCGGCGAGAAACAATGGGCAGAGTTTCTTTCCCCCTATGCCCCTGTTACCTAGCAGTAAAATAGGTACCTGGGTGTTAGTCAGCTGTCACGGGCTGCTTCCTGGGGGTGGAGGCCTGGTCGAGGACCGGGCCGCGGGGACACTAAAAAAAGCCCCGAAATCATCTCAAGATAACATCTTTGACGGCGTCTCCCTGCAGTGTGTTTGTGGATGAGTTGTGTTGAGTTTAACTCTTAGTTGATTTATATGGTGTTGAGCTCATCTCATAGCTGAGTAATGACAGGTGTGGTCTGGTGTGGGTAATGACAGATGTGTTCTCGTGTCAGATGTAGGTAATGACAGGTGTACTCTCACGCACCTTACGATCTTGCTAGAATATCAACCTTAGATGTGTTCCTAAAGATGCTGACTTTGAAGATGCCAATGGTGATGATAGTGATGATGATAGTGATGATGATGGTGATGGTGAAGGCAGCGCCCCAGGACATACAGTCACTCTCCAGGGCCAATCTGGGGAGCCCAGAGGAGCCACCATTCCCTCCAGTAAGCTGCTACTTGACCTTTAGTACCCTCTCATGTATATATATGCATTCAATAAACATGTATGAATATCTCCCCCTTGCATATATATGTATTCGAGGCATGTATATCTCCCTTTCTTTCCTCTCGGCAACTCTGTGTTCAAAAGTTGGCCCTACGTCTTGCTCTATGTGTTCACACGTTGAACATCTCTCCCACAGCACCCGTACTTGTTCAAGTTCAACATCAACGATGAGATCGGGGGCGTGCGGTTCGCTGAGATCGAGGAGAGGGACGAGCTTGGCCAGGTCCAGGGGGCGTACACCTACGTCCGCCCGGACGATGTCCTCGTCGTCGTCCAGTGAGTATGGACGACGTATGAATATATTTATCATCATTAATAATAATAATAATAGCAGTCCATTACTATTATCATATATACCACTTATTACGTGCGTGGGGGGGGGGGGACACCGGCGTTGCTCGGGGGCGCGCGACAAGCCGCCGCAACTTCACCATACACTATCCTCCTCACTGTCACCATCTTCACTACACACGACAATCGTCACTATAACCATCCTCCTCCTCCTCGCCCGCGGGCGCCACGGGGTGCTCCTCCATCATCACTACCACATACTGTCTCCTTCACCACCTGCAAATTTTGCCTTCGCGGCAGGTTTCAAATCGACTTCAGGGTCTTCGTTTCAGGGTCGAGCGACGGTTGGGCGAGCCTAGCCTGAGGACAGGCGCCTTTTTACCGATACAGAATACTTTATTATTAGTAGCGGTGGTAGGTGGATAGAAGGCCTCAACTATCCCTCCCTGTTGCCAGGTACACGGCCGACGAGGACGGCTTCCACCCGCAGATCCACGAGGAGCCGGCTCCCAAGTTCGAGACGAACCCATCCGGCACGTCCACCTACTCCGTGTTGCTGCCGTACGCTGACGAGTACGAGGTGGTGGTGACGGGCGACCAGCTCCGCCATTACCAGCAGCAGGCGCTGCAGAGGCAGCAACAGAGCGCCCAAGTCCGTCAGACCCGCGAGAATGGCGGCGGCCAGACGCAGGAGGAGGAGGATGGCGGTCAGGGGAAAACAACAGAGCATCAGCCTGGCACCAGCTAAGCGGGGCGCCCTCAGATACCCACATTATGTATCCTCGCTCCTGCAGCCCTGGCGGAGGTCACACATGACAACGCTACCTCAACACTGACAAGCTACAATGTCCAAGTTCCAGTGACCTGGATAATCTGCGGGTAATAAAAGTGATTTAAGAACTGCTACGTTTCCGTATCCCCAAAAGACCTCATTTAATGACAGTAAAGATGGGTGAAAGGGACGAAGTGGGGGGTGGAAAGGGTCCTTCCCTGCTGTGGGATACCACCATATTTGACGATATAAACAGTATTATAACAAATTCTTTAGAAATTCCCTCCCTCTCTCTCCACTAGACAATACACGCAGTCAACCACAATCCTGCAGTATACTTAATACATCAGTGTATCCTTTAATATCTTAAAATACGTAAGGCTTCTGGACACAACATAGTCACTTAGTATTATCCATGTTCTTAACCAATTCAAATAGCTAACTTTTATAGCCACAGGAACCAAAGTATTATAGCTTGAAGCCAGTGTAAGTTATATTTGAAAAATTAATAATTGCTTCTGCAAACGGTCACCAGAGGGCATTACTTGTGTGAGACCCTTAATGTGATCATCCTGACCTGGGTGACGGCGATGGCCTCGCATTTCACAGGTACGAGTTCAA